CCCAAGATAGGCACCAATGTTAGGTGAGAGTTGAATAAAGAAAAATAAATAGATTTTAAAGTGTTTTCATTAACATAATATGTTAGTTTAGATAAGATAGCATTGGATACGATTAGTTTAATTGATAAATCATTTATATGGCATTTCCAAGTTAAGTCTTTATCTATTTCATCTATTCTCAACATTTATATTTATGTATATAAACATATAATTTTCTGCAAAAAAATTCTTTTTTAATACGAAGTTCAATTGTTTTAATAAAGGGGTCTATTCAGCTAAGGCTATAATTTATGGAGAATCTTTTTTAACTGATGCATTTAATTTATTGTATATGTAAGATATATTTCTTAAGTAATAAAAAAATAATAATAATAGAGGTATAGTGGAGATCCATAAAAAAATTAATGCAAACATAAAATATGCACACATTACATATAAAATATTTCAAAAAAAAAATTGCAATTTGAAAAAAAAGCCTGAGTAGTTCACTAAGTTTTGAGGCTTTCGTAGGACAACTAAAGGGTCTGTGAATTGTTTAATTAAAAAAAAATATTATTTGTTGTCATTAAAAATGAAGAAAAAAATTCAATATCAATAATCAGATATCAATAATCAGGAGTATAGAAAAAAGGTAAAAACAGGCATCTTTCTTCTCTTGGGTTTATCTTTTTTGCTGGTTTTTAATATATATATATATATATATATATATATATATATATATATATATATATATATATATATATATATATATATATATATATATATATATATATATATATATATATATATATATATATATATACATATATACATATATACATATATACATATATATATATATATATTATATATATATATATATATATATATATATATATATATATATATATATATATATATATATATATATATATATATATATATATATATATATATATATATATATATATATATATATATATAAAATACTACATATTTTTAAATTTATTTTGTTTTCAACCGTTTTTACCCCTTCATTGTATCTGCACACCGGATAAAACTACACCATATCAATTTTGTTGATTGATCATTCTCAATAAGATTAGTGACAAGGTTTATAAACAATAGCTTTTTAAATTGTTTTTTTATAATTTACGTTTTCTTTTATTTTTTTATTTTACGTTTCGGAGAATGTTTAAAGGGTGTGACGAATTGTCACGATAGAGTCGGCAAACTAACTAGATTTGTTAATTTCGAACATTTCTGGATTAAAGCTTTAAAGTTCATACCCCGTTAGTTCATACCCCGTTTATAGATCATAAATAAGGCCGTCCCAAAGAGGTCTTTTATGAAGAGGTGGGGGGAAGGGATATGTACTTTTTGCCAATTAGAGACTTACAAAAAAAAAAAAAAAAATCTGTTTAAACGAGTTAAGAGTTTATTTTAACTCGTTTAAAAAAAATTTAAAAAAAGTAAAAAAAGTAAAAAATTTCATTCATCTTTTATCTAATTATATGAGCTTTATTGTTCAGATAAACTAGGATTGTAAACTGGAGGATTTCGAACATTTCTGGAAAATAAAAACATTTAACAAAAATATTGATCAGAAATTAATTTCTTTTCGTACCGAAAATAAAAAGTATTTACAACTGTAGAAGTGCCTTTTGCGAGTAATACTTCTGAAACATAGACTTTTGAAAGCTGAAAATTGAATGAAAAACAAACGTACAAAAAAACCAACATTTTAAAATATAAAAGTGTATGTAATCAAATGTTATCTTCAGTATCGCAATATACTAACAGTTTAAACTTTTTTTTTTTTTGAAATATTAATAACAAGTAAAAAATTATTTCGAATCAAAGACTTTTGAAAAACCTATGAAACATAAAAAAACTTATGAAAAACGACATACTAAAAATATTTAAATATATTTTTATAGCTTAAATAAGTTTAATTAACTTAATTAAATGCAAGTTATTTACCGATCTTCTAAGTGTATACAAATATATAAGTATATAAGTAAACATAGATTTAAAAAAAAATACTTCTAAAATGTCATTCGATGATCAAAAACTATTTTTCAACAACTTGCGTAGCAAACGGATACGTTTTTAATTGCTTTGTAAAATATTGTTTGAGTCGCTTAGAGGTTATAGTACTCAGCATAAACTTAAATTTTTACTTAACAAGTGGCATGAATGCATTAACAATAGAGGTATTGTTGGGATATTATTAATGGATCTATCTAAAGCGCATAATTTTATTCCGCAAGACCTACTTATTGCTAAATTAGAGACGGATGGTTTCCCTAAAGAAAGCCTAAAACTTCTTATATCGTATATTAGTGGTCGTAAACAAAGTATAAGAATAGGACCTTCTGTTTCTAATTGGGTTGATATTTTACCGGTAGTTTATAGTGCCTCAAGGTTCCATCCTTGGCCCCATCCTCTTTAATATCTTTATAAATGATATGTTCTTATTTATTAAAGATACTGATTTGTGGAACTTTGCAGATGATAATACGCTGTATGCCTGTGATTACACCATAGACAAGGTTATTTTTCGATTGCAAAAAGAAGCAACTAACACCATTGCCTGGTTTAAGCTGCACTTGATGGTTGCCAACCTTGATAAATTCCAACTACTTTTTAGTTGGTTTAAAAAACACAAAAAATCAATACCTAAAAATAGGTAATATAAAAGTTTTTGCCTCTGATAGGGTGAAACTACTTGGTATTGATAATTGATAAGAATCTAAATTTTGGAGAACACATTAAATACTTATGCAGTAAAGCTAATGGTAAATGTTTTGCTCTTTCAAGCATAAAAAGTTTTTTATCCTGAATAAAGCTACCTTGTTGTTTAACGCCTTCATAATGTCAAATTTTTCTTACTGTTCCTTAATTTGAATGTTTTGTTCTAAATACAATGACAACCTTATAAATAGAATTCATAAAAAAGCTCTTTGTATTGTCCATAAAAGGTTTGACTTGTCTCTTGATGAATTGTTAAGTTTTCATAATAATCCGAGGATCCACTTAAAAAATTTGCGTTTTCTTATGATAGAAGTTTTTATCAATTAATTGTCTAAATCTAAAATTTATGAAGGATTTATTCAATACAAAAAAACATCCTTTTGAACTTCGTTGTAGCAAAAAAAATGATTCTACCTTCAAATGTAGAAATCCAAATATAAGGATACATGTTGTACTATATATAGAGCCATCTCGTTATGGAACACTCTAGATAACAAGACCATGTCCTCTAAAAGTTCTGAGATGTTCAAAAAACATATCAAAATTGATATGCAAAATATTGTTATTGTAAAATTTGTCGTTTTTAACTACTATTTCTATTTATCTATTCTTTTTATTTTTATTTTAATAACTATTTACTATTTTGTTTTTATTTTAATAACTATTTTACTGACCATACTAGTTCATTCTCTGAGAGTGACCTTAAATCTGAGGAATTTGAAGAAGCAACAAAATCAATTAGAAAAAACAAAGCTCCGGGCATTGACGACATTTCAATATGTAGTATATACTATTTTATACATTTTAAAAGATCATCTTTTAAAGGTTTTCAAGTCATCAATTAGAACTGGAGTTGGTCAGAGTTATAGGCAAGTTCAAGGTAACTTTTCAAGGATCATCCAGTTGTCTCAGCAAAAGATCTTGCTCAAATTCAGATAAATACAGGCTTATCAAACACTGGGATTAAAAAGTTGACATCTACAGTAAACCATGTTACTGATGCAAAAGTCTTTGAGCCAAATATTCTTAAGAAGTTTCAAGAATTTGGAAAAAGCTTGGGAGATAATTTCACTCTGACTACCATGACGTTTATCTCCTTTGATCAGACAAAATCAAACTGCATTGTTGCTCATTGCAAAAACTTGAACAGTCTTATTGAAGAGCTTCTTCTCTCGCAAAAGATTTTTTCACAACACATCATCAAACTTGGAATAGATGGTGGTGGAGGATTTTTAAAAGTTTCCTTGGGTGTCTCTGCCAAAGAACCGGAGTATGGAGAATGTTCACCTCACAACAAACGTCTTCTGACATCTCAAGCCTCTAAAAATTCTGGTGGCAAAAAGCAACTTCTCGTGGCTATTGCAGAAGGAGTTTAAGAAAACTACACAAATGTTAAACTCATTCTTTCACTTCTTGCCATTAAAGATGTCAATTTTGTTACCTCTTGTGATATGAAGTTGACAAACATCATTTGTGAACAAGCACATTCTTCTTCCCATCCCTGCACTTGTTGCAATGCAGAGAGTTCAAAGCTTTCAAATTGTGGAACACTTTGAACTTTTGGGTCTTTGAAGCAGTCTTTCAATGAGTTTACAGCAGCTGGCTCAAACACAAAAAATGCCACGAAGTTTGGAAATGTGGTTCATGAACCACATTTCCAAAAGATTTTATTTCCATCTTTTTAAGATTCTCAAAAACACGTGGCTAAAAGAAGATGAGTGGCTTCAAGCATTGAACATAAAAGCTCAGGCCTTTCATGGAGGATAACTTGTTGAAAATGATTGTCATAAACTGCCTTAAAACCTCTACATTTTACAAACTCTGGCAGAAAAAGATGCTGCCTTGCAGTCTTTCCAATTATTGAAAGTTTTCGAAAATTTGGAGAAGTTTTGTCAGCATGTGTTGGCAACAAGTTGGATGAAAGCTTTGCAGAAAAAATTGATGCCAAGGTGCACACTGTTTTTTTCCATGTAAAAGACTTTGTCTTTAAAAAAAAAAATTCTCTCGGAACTTATAGTGAACAGACAACAGAAGCCATGTATCATCATTTCAATACTCATTAGACAAGATACAAGTACCCCATTGGTCATACAGAATACGGACAGAAGTTTGTTCACTGCCTTGTGGACTTCAACAGCAAGAATTTTTGATAAAATCAGTCATGGTGAAAAGAAAATTAAAGAAAATCCAAAAATTTCTTCTTGGAATTGAGTTTACATGCAGTTTTGTTTTCAAATCTGAATTTTTTTCTTGAATATTTATGTTTTGAAAACTTTATTGGTTCATAGAAAAGATTTCATTTTTAAAGAATACTGTAAAAATGCAAAAACTTTGAATGCTGTCATTTCACATTTCGGTGCAATAAATAATAAAATTCAACATTGTTTTTCTTTCTTGGACGTAATAGGATGATTTGATTTTTGGTATTTCTGGAATTCCCAGGTCATAAGCTTTCACAGGCATATGACGGTTTCTCCGGGAACAGGCTTGACACTTAACCCGGTTTCAGGAGGACGGTGAGATATTTGTACGTAACGCTATACAAATGGAACTAGAAAGATCTTAGACCATTAATCATAAAAAGAAAGCTCATTCTCATGATTATGATTAGAGTTCAAGACGCGGCCTTAGCTATTAAAAGCTAATCTAAAAGTTAAGCCGATAAAATTTTGTGTGTTGACGCCAGTTTCAAAACGTCAAGTTTCCTTTAGTGGAGGAAATATAGTAAAAATAGTTCACGTTGTGATACCAGCATGAAACTTGGCGAAATTTTTGTCAACAGTTATACAAATTGATATAGAAAAGGATCATGTATTTGGTTTTGAGTTAAAGAGTCTTCAACTTTTAGACAAATAAACTCAAAGGACTTCATTTTACAGTGTAAAATCAGCTTTAAATAAAAGCGTAAACGATGCACGTGGTCGTACTATTAACGTTTTTATAAAACAATATTTATGATATTTTTTTTAGGTAAGTGCAAACAAAGTATGTTTTGTAAACAAAAGTCTTTCATGAAAAGTAACTTTCATGTGTTTTTTTTAGGTTTTCCGGAGTTATTATAATTTACCAATGAATTTCCTTTTTTTACATTTTTTGTTTTGTTAATTTTCACAACGCAAATTTCTTGAGCAGCATTTTATTCAAAGACAATAATAGGTAAAGAAAACAAAAAGTACTTCTGTTTAGTTGCCAATCATTAATAAATTCATAAACTCAACACCTATGGTAAGACAAACCTTTAATATAGCTAAAAAAGTTTTAGCAAAAAATCAACCCAAATCAAGTCCCTATAATAACTGCTGAACAACTAGTGTATGCTTTAGGTAAACAAGCTCAGTGGTACTACCCGGAACTATTAAGTTAAGATAAAATTTTAAAGATGATGGGTGGGTTACACATAGAAATGACTTCTTTATCTCTGGTTGGAGATTAAAAGGAAGTGGTTACTGTGATGCAATAACTACAGCTGGTATAACAAAATCTGGATGAGCTGAATCTGGTCCAAAAGTAAAATGTTCTAGGTATGCAACACAAGTTTCATTAGTTGGTTTATATTTCACTATCGGCTTAGGCATTCTAAAAATTATTTACAACCTTTGACTTGTAGATCCACCAAGAAAAAACAGTGTACATTCAACTTGATTATTAGTTTACTGCTATGAAGTTACAAGCAACAGTCCTGTTGCTTGATAAGAGTTTCAGAAGGGGAAATGTTAATACGTTGGTCAGTGCCTAAGGAAATATTGTTCCTTGAATTTAACTTTAATTCACACACACATACAAAATTGTAGATGGCTTCCAATTTTTCTAGTCGACATGAATATGTTTCCTCATAAAAACCATGAGATTTACATCAAATTCTGCAAAGGTTTTTTCACATAACAAATAACAAGACGCCCTTTTTTATTTATGACTGTATATCAGGACCATGTATAAAACATTAAAATTATAAAAAAAGATGGGTTCTCACGTTTTAGATAGCCTGGGTGCATTGATAAATTCTATGGTGTGTTAGCCACTACTTGCTTTGCTTCTAAACGGATTTGGAGAAGAAGAAAAAGATAATGAAAATAATCATTAAAAAGATATACCTGTTTTTGAAAAGAATTATAACGATATGCATCAAATTTTTTTGAAGTCATAAAAAGTTTTGGAAATCCATTTTTAGTAGAAGAAGATATTCTCATACATTTATGAACAAAGGTATTACTTGACGCAAAAGGTACGACATCCGTCAAAAAAGTTATGCAAACGGATGTTGAGTCACCCCGATGGTATATTCAGAATAATTTAACAAGTGAAAAGAATTTAGTTTATAAAACAATCCACTAGATTTAGATGATTATTTCGACATAAAAATCATGCTTATCCACCAGCAATATCTGAATTCGTTAAACTCTGAAAAACTAATAAATCAATGTACCCTAAATGCTTTGAAAAGTATTCGGTTCCTACTTTGATTTCTCCTGAAGATATCTCTGCAAAGGTGTTAGATTGAGGAGCAATTGTTTATATATATTTTATCTAGAAAATTTAAAAACTTTGAAGGAGTACTCTGATATTGAGTTTCGAAAAAAAACAATGAATATCACATCAGCATGAAAAAATAAAAAGGATTGACAGTGTTTTACCGTTAATTTCAATTAATTTCAAAACCCAGACCAGGGAGAATCGAAGGAATTGTGTGAGGGTATGTGTTTCTGATTCAACTTGCATTTAAAAAAACTGGGTTTTTGCTACTGATGTAAACAAAATGAGTTGTCTAAAATGCTTGCAATAAACTTTGTACAAGTACGGAAATTTGACTTACTGTTATTAACAACGAAACCGTTTTGTACAATTTCTCACCTTGTAACCACAAGGAAAGTGAAACTGTGGGCACCAATTTTTCTATATTTAAACAGTAAACACAATTGCAATTTCAATTTCCGTTTTTAAACAATTAACTGGATAGAACCTGGAGTTTTGGTTTTCAATTCACTATTACGCACAAAAGATATGTGAAAAAGCAGAAGCTGTTTTATTGTGGTTTGCATTCGCTGGCTGTGATAAAATATTTTAATTTGCAGAAGGAAGGAAAAAACTTGCCTGGAGTCTCTGGAACAATGGAGATGAAGAAATAATTAGAGCATTTACAAGAATAATTTCACCTGATGCAGTTTAAGTGTTACGTAATTCTACTTTATTATAAGACAAGTTTTACGACTGATCGCTATATGCTCAAGAATTCTGTTCACTAAAAAGTCACGGCAGAGTGTAGGGTTACCACCTACAAAAGATGCACTCTTTCATTTGAACTCTTACATTTGAAAAGAGCTGTGATTCAAGAAAGATACATATTTTTTAAATACTTTAAAAATGGTATTTACATATAACAATTTATATAGTATCGTTGGGGACAATCCTTGATGCCATAACAGATTTTACCCGAAGACACCAGTGAGGGGGCACTGTCTCTTCCCTTCTCACAATAGCCAATTTTCCACCTGGTAGTAGTAACGAATCCAGCATTTTTTGGTATTTGAGCTAACTTCCAGCAATGGAGCAAAACATTTGTATGTTTATACTTATGTCAAATGATACTTTGCAAAAAATTGCGATGTTTAGAGGCTGTGAACAAAAAAACACTAAAATTTCATTTTAGGGTTTTTTTCAGCAACCCTTTCCCGACCCATAATTTTTTCAAAGAATTAAAAACTAAATTTTTTTTTGTTATTTCGACATTACTCTGTTACATAAAAGAATATTAATTTTTTATACTCATGAAATTCGATGCCCTTGTAAATAAAAAAAGATAGAAAACAAGAATAAATCATATTGCATACGTACTTGCTGTCTTTAATTATCCCCACTCTCAGCGGCGGATCCAGGATTCAGTGGTAGGGGGTAATGCTTGGAGGTTTACTGAGGGGAGGGTTTAGAATGGGGTATCCACCCAAAAAAATTTATGTGAGACAGGCATATAAATTATTATAAAATAGGTTTATTAATATCAATTGATTAAAAATTAATAAACACCAGTTGAAAGTTAATTGACACCAGTTGACTACAGTCAACAAATTCATAAATATCAGTAGACTGCATTTAGTTTATAAACAAGCTTATAAACACCAGTTGACTGCTGGTTCATAAACACAGGGCACTATAGCATAACACAAAATCCAATTTACGTGTGCTCAAGATAAAATCATTGATAACCATGTCTGGGTCAATATTAATTTCTGGGTGAATGTGCATAAGGGCAAGACCGTTTAAGCGATCATCAACCATAAAAGATCGTATTCTTGATTTAAAAACAAGGCGATTCAACACACAAATACCGGAACTTAGGTCACGTGCAAAACGGAAGCCAATTTGATTAAGTTTTAAAACGTTTTGATTAAAACCACCACAACGCACTCTCGAGTAAAAAAAAAAAAAAATTGAAAGTCTAGTGGGGGGTAATGCATTACCCACATTACCCCTCTGTATCCGCGCCTGCCCACTCTCTCTCTTTCTTCTACGCATTCACAAAATTTTAGAGTAAAACCCTCCCCTTTTACCTGCATACAAACTTTATGGAAGACGTCTTCTGGCAAATTAAATTATTGATAATAATTGAAAAATTTGTGTGATTTTTTATGTAAAAGATAAATTTTTTATTTGTGATGCACCAGCAAAAACTATAGTTTAATCACTATAATGATTATTATCGATGTGACGGTTATAATATGGAAGAAACCTATGATGATTGAATGTTTATGTACACTGATACTCACTGCTAAAATATTTAGAGAAAAATTCTGGAAAATCATCATTATGATATCAGTGTCTTGGAATCATTTAAAGTAGATATGGTGCAGGAGTTTCCTCTCAACGTTTCAATTGTGCACCAAATTCAATGTGTCGACCTTTGGTTGTACTAAAAAATTACTTTTAATCTGAAAAAAAGATTTTTAAAAAATCGCAAAAATAATGACTAAAAAGTTTTTTTTAATTAATATTGCTTTTTTTTTTTTTTTTTATCGTTTTATAACATTTTTTAAACATGCAAGGAGTGTTGCTACACTGACTAACAAATAGGTAAAACATGCAAGGAGTGTTGTTTTTTTGCTGTAAAACATGTGCGAAGTGATGTTATATATATATATATATATATATATATATATATATATATGTATATATATATATATATATATATATATATATATATATATATATATATATATATATATATATTTGACATCTTCACTTACAGGAAGCTGCAAGCAACCACGGAAGAAAAAAGATGAAGTTTATAGAGGAAAATAATGATTGACAGACAAATTAAAAGGTTGCAAATTATAAGAATCAGGAAAACAAGATGAAGGAAGCAAATTACAAAGAGTTGATGTTTGAGGAAAAAACTAGACAAATAAGAATTTTGGAGCACTTAGGAACAGTCATATATAAAAGTATTATACTGTTTTAATATGTATATATTAAAACAATATTTTTGGTTATAACTGCAGTGTATTTCAAGATACGATGTATTATGAAATCTTAAGCAAGTTTAATGAAAAGATAACAATGTCATATAAAATAGTAATATACAATTCTGAAGTAATTAATTAGCAATTATTTCAATCAAATAAGTTAATTAAATATATACTACATGTTCAAATGTGTTATTATTTATTTATGTTGTGGTACAATAACATGATCTATTATGAGTCTATGCTATTTTCCATAGCTTAGGAAGATCATTATTTGTTAAACTTTGTTGTTATACAATTGACAGTGGTACTGATAGACTTAGAACAAAATTTATTTAAATTTATTTTATTGTTTTATTTATTGTTACTAATTGTATATTTATATTTTTAAATAACAGATCATTAGACTTTTTGAATTTTTTGAACAAAGTTAAATTATTTAATTTTTCATAAAATTTTGGGAACTACTTATTAGTGTTGCTTAAATTCAATAGTTTTATGAATGTGTTTAAACTTTTACTGTAACTTATACAAATTAATTCAATAAAGAATGTTGGGGGTCTAGTTTTATGAATGTGTTTAAGCTTTTACTGTACAAATTAATTTAATAAAGTAACTTATACAAATTAATTTTGCAACATTCTTCAATGCTTTTGTGAAAGTCGTGAAATATAATTTCAATGTCATTTTTTTTCTAGGTTTCCTAGGTTTATAATTGCAATTTGAATTGGAAGCAATGACGCTTGTGTGTGTGATGGGATTAATAAACTTATCAGAATAAAATTACATAAGCTATTATAAGGCAAATTTGTTGAAAAGGTAAAAATCATTTTTATTTTGTAATATTTAGGCAATAATTTAAATTTTCTTTTGATGGCTAATAGTTATTTATTGTTTTCAGCTTGCACATTTGTTTTCAAACGATAAATAAATCTAAATTTTATTTGGAAAAGAAGTTGAATGTAACATTCAAAAAGTGACCTTTAAATCAAGTCTATCTGTCGAAAACTGAATTGTAAAGTTAAAGCGATTCTATAGCCGAGCCCATATCTCTATCTCTCAATATATATCTATCAAAGCCCAATCTACTAATTTGTGACATTTTCTGTATTTCTTTTTGTTAAGGTTTTACCTGACTATTTACTATCTATTATTTTTTTCAAATAAAACTCTTAATAATTATATTGACTTTTTCTCTAAGCGTTATATAATATAATATTGAATTTATATTTTATAAACAAATATATGTAATAGCACATCTATCTATTTCACTAAAGATGTTTATTAATATGATATAATTTAACTTTACTAAATAAATAGCAAATTATATACAATCATTATAAAATATTATTTATAAAAATATAATTAGTTAAAATAATAATAAAATGTTTTTTTATTAAAATATAATTAAGTAAAATAATTAAATAATATAATGGAAATATTATGATAGGGGTTGTCCGTTAATCACGTCAACAAAATAGGGGGGAAGGGAGTCTGAACAATTTTTAACAGTTATTGACACGGGGGAGGGGAGGTATAAAATTTCAAAAAATTTGTTGACGTAATTAATGGGCAGCCCAATATCAAGTTTTGAGTGAACTTTTTTTTTTTTTTTGATATTAAAGTGCCCCAGGAAGACCTAATGGTCTTGTCACAGAGCACCGCGGAAGTGCATTTAACCAGAAAGTTCACGCCTTACCGTGATGCGAAAATATGTTCAGAGCTCGTTTCGAACCTGGATCTCCTGCTTATAAAGCAAGCGCTGAAACCACTGCGCCGCGGCCGCAACTTCTCATATGATATCAAGTTTTGAGTTCAGAATGATATCAATACTGTATTTCATTTTAATGTCATATTGGTATCATAAACTTTTCACATCATGATATCATATATAACAAAGTTTGATATCGTTATGATATCAAATTCCTGAATGAGTAACTTCTTTATATTTTTAATCGCTTTTCTTTAACTAATGAGTTAAAATAACTAGTTTTTTCCCATTAGAACAGTTAAGTGTCAAAGTTTATATACTTTTATAAAAAATATTCCGCAAAAAATTAAAGAATGCAAATCTTATCCAGTTTTGCAGATTGACAAGTTTAAATAATCTTCACATTCAAAATGTGTTAAAAACATTGCATTGAAGGAAATCTAGCGTAACTCCTAACAAAAAAGACAGCGATTTAGCCACAAAGATCACTAGCTACATAAACTTGCAACTACCTAGCTAGATAAGTTAGCAACTAGCGACAACTAGAAGTAATAAAGAAAGTAACTTGGTCACGAGGATTTCTACGTAGAAGAGCCAGCAATAAGCTAGAAAAATTCGCATTCTATTTTTATATATTACTTATTAGTATTTATACAATCTATTATTACATATTGTTTCTAGTATGCTTGTGGAACCCATTTGCAAAACGTACAAAGTCTGAGTAAATTGATTTAAAAAAAAAAACGACGAAAAATTTATTACATTTAAATTGACACGATCAATTCTACTTATCATAATGTTGGACTCGCCGATTATTTTTTTCTCGTTATTTTTAGTTAATTCTGCGACAATATCTGCTTGAAGTTCTTTTGTTATGCTATTCTTGAAACTAGTAAAAAAAAGTTAAAAAAATTACATGATTAATGAAAATAAAAGGCAACCAAACACATACCAATATAAATACGATAAAAGTTGAATTCCACTCAGCAAAAACAATTATCACTGCTTTAGCAAAAGCAAAAATTCAAAAAGATTATTCGCATAGAATTTTTATAAATAAAGATTTAACAGGAACTAAAAAAATAAATTACAAAAATCTTAGAAAATAAAGAATTGATCTCAACGACAAACTCAAATACACACTCGACGACAATATCAAGCTTGGATATGACATAGACGTAAATAATGACAATAAAAAATACTACTATGGCAGAAGAGATCAACAATTTAAAAAATATATATTAAAGAATGACTTTACTTTGTGCCGTCATAAAATTATTCAAATCAGCTTAACAATAACAACACAAACCCAACTAATTATACCAATAAACTAAATGATAATGATCTTTTATTCAACCTGAAACTTTTGATACTAACAAAGTGACTTAATAAGTCAGTTAATAATGTCTTTAATAAACTCAGATAACTTTATCCTTTATTTTGATATCTCTAAAAAAAAGGTACTATCAATTTTGCATTTAAATATAAATTCAATAAAGTCAAAATACATCACAGAAATCAAACCAATATTAGATTTAAATTTGATAGATATAATAACGTTTAATGAAACCAAACTTAACGCCACATATCTAAAAAAAGACTTTCTTTTAAATAGTTATAAAGTATAGACAGAAAATACAGCATTAAAAAAGGTAGCATTCTCATCTACATAAAAAACAACTTGAAAGTTTTATTTTGGAATAGCAGTTTTGAACACGAGATCATTCATTACCAAGTGATGCACAACAAATTGAAAAACAATTTCATCTGCTGTTATAACCAACGATCAATTCTTTAACAACTTTTTAGAAAGCTTATTATTAAATCTCAATCCAATTGAACCGGTGGTATTTATATGAACCGGTGTAACCAAATGAACCAGTATTTATAACCGGTGATCTAAACCAAGATCTGAGCTCCAAATATGCAACTGAATGAGTTTCTTACTAATAACAACTTAAAAAATAATGTCTATAAACTAATTAGAGTTATTACTAGATTTAATAAAAAAGACAATAAATAAATTTAAAAGTATAATTGATATTTTTTATCTAAAAGTTCAGCGAAAAAAAAAAAGATTGTCAAAAAACTTTGTTTAGTGATCATTGTGCAGTTTTTGAAGTGATTGATTACTGAAGTAGTCAATTACTCAAAAACAATCAAAAGCAGGCAACTAAGCAATGAAAGTATAACAATCATATCAAACGCAATCAACAACACAAACAAACAGTTCAAAATAAATGACAACTCGACCAGTGATGGATCCTTTTTTTTTTTGGGAGGAGAGGTGTTGAAAAATTTTTGTATTTGTTATCACATTTTCGTCTCCTAAAAAACAAAAAAGGTTTCTTCATTTTTGAATATTTTAGGAGTTTTTGTTTTCGGAAAACCCGTGTCGTCAGCCCTGTGATTATATACTTTACAACATTAAGGCCTATTCAAACGTTGAAAAGTCATTATTTTTCAACAAATTCTTTAGTACATTTAAATTTAATTCCGATTGTGTTCTTAATGATTTTTATAACAAATGGTTATTTTCAACAATTTTCAACAAATATCTATAAACAGCTAGTATTTCAAATGAATTTAAAATAAATAGTATTATGCCGCTTTATAAACTAAAAGGTGAAATTCATGATATCAATAGTTATCGAAGTATTAATTTAGTATCTCCACTAACAAAAGTGTTTGAACAAACAAGTGTTTGAAGAACTGCTAAAAGATAAACTGCATACTTTGAACAAAATGATTTATTCAATGATGACTAACTATAAATAAGCGTTGTCAATCTTTTTTAACTTATTACAATCCTTGAATGTATATATTTATCTTTATGGTAGATTGGTTAGGTGGTAGACTACTAGAAAAATAAGTAAAAAATAATTTTTCAAAAATTAGCATTATTCTAAACAGTAACTATTGTAGAATCTAAAAATATATATATCTTTATATGTGCAAAATATGTGCAAAAATAGAATCATATGAGAACAAAAAGTTTAGAACTGATAAATGATATTTATTTAAGCAAGGTAATTTTGCTTTCCCAAGCAACGGCTGGTTAAGGTAAGAAAATAATAAAAATTTAAAAACAAAAAAAAAACCTTAGACTAATTAGGAAAGTCGGGCGCCCTTATTCATCAAAATTTCCCTATACTATAGATGAAGGAGCCTTTTTTTTTTAGGTACCTTCTTTTCATTAGGCGCTCTTAGGATATCTGCTACCCAGAATTGTCCCTTTAGCCCAGGGGTGGACTGGGAGTATATCAGCTCAGGTGGAAAGGAAATGTACCAGCTCAAAAGTATAATAATAATATCTTTATTATCATAGATGTAAATACGATATATCTGTATTATTATAGGTGTAAATATACTATCATAGGTGTAAACTTTTAGTTGGAGTGGGAAGCGCTGTGTAAGTTTCCCAATTTTTTCTAATTTAGATATTTTAGCCCCTCCTAAATAGTAGTATTAATAATATTTTAAGGTCTAATTATTATTACTATTTTATGCCTAAGCTATTTTTTGTAATATAAAACAAATGATAATTCCTTGTATAAGCAAATAGTAAAAAAAATTAATTATTATTTGCCTTGAATAATTGATTATTAATATGTCATCTTATCTTAATAGTATGTTAAAAACAGTCCAATTTTAATGTATAAAATGTTATCCTAAACTGATATTATATAATATCAGTTTAGGATAACATTTTATAATTTAAACTTGGACTGTTTTTAAAATACTCTACAACTTCAGATATTTCAATGTCTTCTATTAGTTTTCTCTCTACTGACATAACAATTAGTGCTTCTAAGTTTTCTTGATATAAACTGGAACAAAGAAGTAAGTTAAATTTTTAATTAAATTTTATAATCTTAAGTTTAGTAAATATTCTTTTGCAGTTTACACTTCTCTTCAGTTACAGACAAATTTAATAAATATTTATATGCCGTGCATAAATTACTGTATGCAGAAAGATGCATGTTTAGAGAATATAGTTTAGTTTTATATACACAAATTACAGAGGCGGGTTTTTTCACTCGCCAAGGAGGGGGCTAGAAAGGTCTTCAAAAAAAAGAAATAAAATAAGGTCCGCATATTTTCATTTATAATTTTTTGTACTTTAGTGTAATAACCAAGTTCATATACGTATAATTACGTATAACAGTCAATTTCATTTGTCATTATAATAGTCCAATTCTGTATAATTGCCAATTTACAAAAGAATATTTCTAAAAAAAAGTACCAAAGTAGGAGGGGGGGGGGGATACTAAACTTATAGCCCCCCTCCCGCCACTGACAAGTTAAACTGCTCTGCTTAATGCGGATTTCATCAAATTTGGGTAATTTGCATTTATTTGTATTATCTTAACAGATGAAAAACAAATTAATTCAACGAAAATAAACTAAAATAATTTAAATTAGACTTACAAAAAACATCAGAGATTGTATTTTCTCCTTCACTAGCTTC